TTCTTGCTGAGTTACATCAGGAGTGCAATCAAATATCATAGAAAAGTAATATGCTTCTTTGACTTACATAAGGATATTCTCATTTTCGTTATTATCTACATTCAAAACAATATGTTGTTCAATATTTCTGTTTGATTGTTCATCCTCAAAATTTTCAACCGTAGAGTTTAAGTTATCTGGATTCACATAAGTTTGAATAGAAGTTGTAGAATGCTTGCTAAATTTTTTTTATCCAACATGCTCTTTTGAGATTTAACAACAATTTCATTTTGTTTCTTTTTTTTTTTTTTCCGCTTTTGATGACCGTAAAGTTGTTTTCTAGACAACATTTTAACAATTCAAAATATGCAAACAACAAGCCTATAAATATAATGAATAAATAATAACAATAAGCTAGTAAACAGTAACACCTTATTTTTTATTGTTGGCTTGACTCTAAATCTCAACTAGATGCCCAACGACCAAAACAAACACACGCCTGTAGTGTGGACACAAAAAACCATCAACATATGAAGTATGAATTAATAAAGAAAATAAACAAACTAACTAAGCTACAAAACGTGTACAGTAGCATAATGTAACAAATTGATAAAACTACAACCAATGGGATTAATAAAGAAAATATACTCACATAGTCGATAAGGGATCTCCTCAAATGTAGATAAAAAAAGGGAACGAAATAGACAAATAGTGCAAAGGTTTTTTTTTCTTTTGCCAAAATGGTAAATGTTTAAATGTCATTTTCACTAATTTTAGATTTTCTATTTTTATAGTGAATCACATTTATGTGAAGATAGTTTTTTACACAATTTAAGAAAATGTTTTTTTGGATGATTTTAGATTTTCTATTTTTATAGTGAATCACATTTGCGTGCGTGCGTGTTTATAACCTATCTTACTAGCTTATAGTTTATTTTTCGTACGCTATTTCAAATAGCGTTTTAGCTTATAGTTTATAACTTATCATTTTTTCTTACACTTTTGTCCTTATTATTTTAGCTAAAATACACTACTACCCTTTATAATTTATTTTAATTTAAATAAAAATAATTATATATTAAATGATTTTTATGTCATTTTAATTTACCAACTAATTCAACCTCTAATTTCACCAAACACTTCAATTAGCTTATCAGCTATAAGTCATCAGTCATAATCTATAAGCTATTAATCATCTGCCATCAATCATAAGTTATAAGATATAAGCTAACTTATCAGTCAACTATTATTTTTACCAAACAGAGTCATCGTAAAAAATTTGATTCCCCTAAAAAATGTGTGTTCTGTGTCACTGCTCCTCCCGAATACCCTCAGGGACCTCTGAAAAATTGTACGAGAAGATCACCTCCTTACTCCTAATGATATGATATGTTCAGTAAATTCATACTACTCTATCTTTACATTATAGTTCTATTGGTACATGTTGATAACATTATACTATTAAGAACATCATTAATTGAGAATATTGGAATATTTTCTTGGCCTTGATGTGACACACTCAAAACATTGTTATCTCAGAAAACAAGTATTGTTTGAATGGGTTAATTTAGGAAGAATGAAGTACATGAATACTGAATATCTTTGAATCCCTCAACAAAATTAAATCAAGAAGAAAATAAACTTATTGAAGACATCATTACATATAGCTTTGAAAGACGACTAATCTACTAATCTTAGATAGAGTGAGCCGCATTGATTCAAATAACTCTCCATCAGAGTATTATTGATTCATAAGTTTGTCTCTTTTATCTTAAAAAAAAAAAGAAACGATAAATCTTTGAAGTCAAGTATCAAGAACTAGGCACAAATTACATGGTTGAACTTTTATATCTTATAAGAGATTTGCACCTCAATTGCTCAAAGACACTAGTTTTATATCGTAATAAAAGTACTCTTTATATAAATACATAATCATGTTTTTATCAAAACAAAATATTTTGATATGGATTTTCACTTGTCAAGACAGAAGGATCAAGTGTTAAGACTATTGACAATTTTTTCCCAATAACAACGTAGACTTTCTAACAAGGGGTGTTCCACATAATTTATCAGGGTTAAGTTTGAAAAAGATGTTAAGAGGAGAAAGTTTGATCAACAAACTTTTGTGTTGTTGCATAAAAGCATTTCTTTCAAAACTCAAATAGCTTTTCATTTTTAGTATTTGTTTTTTAAAGTGTTTAAACTTTATATGTTTAGCCTATAGTTAATTTTCAAAAAATTGAATTAGTTAGATAGTATGAGTGTAAAGCTACATATAATGATCATGAGCTTTCGAGCTTATTAAATTAAATTTGCAGCTTCTCTTTTATTTTCTCATATTATTATTTATATTGTAACACTTCACACAATAAAACTAACATTAATGATAAAATAAACTAGACTTTTAAATATGTTAAAATTTGTTTAATTTTTATTTAAATTTATTGTTATTTTTGAAAGAGTCTCAACTTAAATTTCACATTCTACCTTAAAATAAGGTGGGTGGATTTGGACACAAAAATTGCATGGAATTAAAAAAATATCACAAAATAGGTAACAATGTTTGGACACAAAAGTTGCATGGTGTTGGAAAATATAAAAAAAAAATAGGGAACAATGCCTAAAATATGTTTAGCTGGTTGAAGCATAAAATGTTTGAAATCAACTAACAAATAGTAAAATTTGAATGAATTTATTTTATTCGACCAACCTTTTACTTTATTTATTTATTTTATTTCAAGCCATAACTTTTTTTAAGAGGAACCCACAATCTTGAGAAATATTATAGAATATTAATTCATATGTAAATAATAACTAATAATATTAAAATTTATATATTATAAAACAATTTTTATTATAAATACAATTTTAATTCTTTTGGATAATTTTATGAGTATGAATTAAATACACTAGATTTAAATTTTTTAAATTTGCATATTAATAATAGTTTTCATTTTAATATAAAAGCATGACAAATGTGTTTAGGGAAAGATCGCTTGTCTATGAATAATTTGTCTTGCCGATTTCAACTAATATATAATATATTTTTAAATGTAAATAAGTAGAGAACCTTTAGCATGTTAGGGTTATTGAATGAAACATTTTTGAATTAACAAAAGAAAAAAATTAGTAGCATAATAACAATATTATTTTATCTAAAATAAACAATCACAATCAAAATTTAAAAGATTAGAAGTATTTATGAAAAGAAAGTAGAACTTTATGTTATGAGTTGGGACCAAAAAAGTTACAAGGTTTTTTTTACTCCATAATAATATAGGAATGAATCATACAAGGTGGTTGCATCCCAATTAATATGAATAATTTTTTTTATTCACAATTAATATGAATGATTTTTTTATTCACAATTAATATGAATTATTGAATGGTCAGTTTACAGCTGTGAACCTACTCATTACATTGCAAAAATATTCAAATATCATATCATCCTCATTTCAAGAAAATTTCTTATGCTAAACTATAAAGAATAAAATAATAAAAATGATTTTAGAACTAGTTAGAATCAATTTTAAAAAGTCAAAAACAGGAGTTAGAGTATATTTGATGAAAAATAACAGATGAACTTTTATATATATATATATATATATATATATATATATATATATATATATATATATATATATATATATATATATATATATATATATATATATATATATATATATATATATATATATATATATATATATATATATATATATATATATATATATATATATATATATATATATATATATATATATATATATATATATATATATATATATATATATAGCCAGTTTATAATATAAAATGATATAAAAATATGTTTAATTAATAATTAATTTTTACTTGAAGTATTATGGGAAAAATTGAAAAAAAATTAATTATTTATAAAATTTAAACTATAAATTATTTAAATTAATTTATAAAAAATATAAAATAGCAAAAATAAATTATGAATTCATGAGAAAGTAACAATTATCAAACATTTTTTTTGAATATATAAATTTATAAGTTTTAAGACAAAATTTAAATTAAAAAAAGTAATCAGATAAAATTTGTGAATAGAATGACTTTAAATGTGATTATTTATTTTAATTGATTTTTTAAATATAATATTTTTATTATGTTATTGACCTAGTGATCAATCAATAATTAAATAAACATTTACATAAATAAATAAATAGAATGAACCAGAATCCAGATTCCACATAAAATGTACTTATAAATAAATATTACTAATATTAAACTCAAAACTAAGGTTAAATAAATACATACAAAAACATAGCTAAACTAAGGTTAAATAAATACATACAAAAACATAGCTAGTGGATGATGTCAATTTCATTATATGTCATAAAATGAGTTGCTCTTACTTTTCTGTGGCAAGTTGGTTCAGACTAAATCTCAAATTAACATTAAAAGTTTATTTTTCAGTCAGGTTTATTATTACATCATCGTTTTTTAATGGTCACTTTTCTCTAAAATTTCTTATATTTACGTTATACAACATAAATAATTATAGATTATAATAAATGAAAATGAAAATAAATATAAATACTTTATTATTCATTTCCTCTTTCTCTTATAACTGTATAAATTATTATATAAAAAAATACATGTATATTTACACTTTTTTTAACTCTGGGTCATTTTGTACTCGAAACTGTACACGTTTTTCCCACAGAAAAAACAGAAGCATAGGAATAATACGGAAGTTCTTCCTATATACAATAACAGTAGTACTATACTAGTACACGCTGTTGATACACGTGCTTAGTGTTTGTATTATTTTTCATCAAATTGCACTATAATTTAATCCATGAGCTGTGAGAGTGCAAATCTAGCTGGTCTTCTCCTCTCCTCTCCTTCTCACCCTCTTCCTACTTACTTCATCACTCTCCAATCAATTCCTATAAATACCTCATTCTTCATCTTCTTTTTCTCACTCACCTTCTTTCATTTCAATATTCATAATATTTCATTTCTACTTACTTACACACTCTCAAACATCAAACATGGTTTTTTTCTACTTTCTTTCTCTTCTTTTCATTGTTGTTTTTCTACTCAAATCACTCTTCAAATCCTCCCATGGAAAAAAACAATTGCCTCTCCCTCCTGGCTCTATGGGTTATCCTTACATAGGTGAAACCTTCCAAATGTATTCTCAAGACCCTAGCATTTTCTTTATCAACAAAATTAAAAGGTTCTTAATTCACACACTCTCTCATTTTTTTACCTTTTTACTACATGCTTATATGATCATTTGGTATCTCAGCGAATTAGTCGAAATCACACTGAATCAATGACTCAGCGTGATTTCGACAAATTCAAACAGATACCCAATGATCAGGACAGACTTCAAGGCTGAGAGAGTATATGTACCATTTAGTGTTACTTGGACTAATTGTTATTTTATTTTTGGATTTATTATAGGTTTGGTGATATGTTCAAGTCTCATATTTTGGGTTGTCCTTGTGTGATGATTTCAAGTCCAGAAGCAGCAAAATTTGTGTTAAACAAAGCTGAACTTTTCAAACCAACATTTCCAGCTAGCAAAGAAAGGATGTTAGGGAAACAAGCAATTTTCTTTCACCAAGGAAATTACCATACTAACCTTAGAAGACTTGTTCTTCGTACCTTCATGCCTGAAGCCATCAAAAGCATTGTTCCCAACATTGAATCCATTGCTCAATCATGTCTCAAATCATGGGAGGGAAACTTAATCACCACTTACCTTGAAATGAAAACAGTAAGCACTCCAAAACAGAGCAAAAAACAGAGCAAAAACAGAGCAAAACATGATAAAATCTTCTGTTTTCCTCTAAACAAAATAAACAAAAATTTAATTTTTTTCATCAAATTCAATTCTTTTTTACCAAATAAATAATGGGTTTGTCTTAATTTTTTCAGTTCACTTTCAACGTTGCACTTCTATCAATTTTCGGAAAAGACGAAATTCTATACAGAGAAGATCTAAAAAGATGCTACTACACACTTGAAAAGGGGTACAATTCAATGCCAATAAACCTTCCAGGAACACTATTTCACAAAGCTATGAAAGCAAGAAAAGAACTAGCTCAGATCTTGGAACAAATAATCTCAACAAGGAGGTGCAAAAAGCAAGATTACAATGATTTGTTAGGTTCTTTCATGGATGAAAAAGCAGGACTCAGTGATGAACAAATATCAGATAACATCATTGGTGTCATTTTTGCAGCTCGTGACACAACTGCTAGTGTACTTACATGGATTGTTAAGTACCTTGGTGAAAATCCTAGTGTCCTTGAATCTGTCACTGTAAGTATTTGGGTCCTACCCTTTATCCTTCTAATCATTGGCAAATTTTGATTTTTATTTCTACATTTTAACAATAAAAAGGGTATTTCAGTCTTTTAACATTTTAACAATTGATAATTCTGCAGAAACATTCGATTATATAACACAAATTTAAATCTGTGATATATCACACTTGTTAAGGGATGCAAGTTCAACCTTTAGACTATTAGACAAAAAAATAGTTAATTTTAAGAACTAAAATTTTGATATGAACTATGGATTGGTCATTTAAGCTTATGAATGTTTTGTGACTTTTGCAGGAAGAACAAATGTCTATATTAAAAGGGAAACAAGAAAATGGTGAAGAAATTGGTCTAAATTGGGAGGACACAAAAAATATGCCAATAACCTCAAGGGTCATACAAGAGACATTAAGAGTAGCATCAATTTTGTCTTTTACTTTTCGAGAAGCAACGGAAGACGTTGAATATCAAGGTAATAATCAACTCTGATACAATACTCTCGCCGACCTGAAATATATCAGGTCGGAGGAATAATATTTTTACCTTTTTTAGCCATGCTCATAGATTTTGTTTGGGACTATTATTTTTTTCAGGGTATCTTATACCAAAAGGATGGAAAGTTTTACCACTTTTCAGAAACATACATCACAGTCCAGAAAATTTCAAAGAGCCTGAAAAATTTGATCCTTCAAGATTTGAGGTAATTATTGAACCATATAACTTGTGCATTCCCTAATTCATTATTTTTTTTCTTTCTCTTTGTCCTTTACTATTCAAAGTCTACACCTTGATAGATTCTGTTAAACTATTTTTGGCAGGTTGCTCCAAAACCTAATACTTTCATGCCATTTGGCAATGGGGTCCATGCATGTCCTGGCAATGAATTAGCAAAGTTAGAGATTTTGGTTCTTGTACATCATCTAACCACAAAGTACAGGTTGGTAAACTCAACTATTATATTACTACGCCTCGATTCTCGATTCTCAACCGACTTATTTTCAGACAAGTTACGAATTGTAAAATTCGTGCATGTTTGAATTAACAGTAATGCTTGACAAAAATACAATACTTTTGTAATTTTGTCAAATTTATTATAATTTTAAACATATATTTCATGTATCTGATTCGTTAATCAAGAGAAACGATTTTTCTAAAGTGTGACTGCTATTTTTGTGTAGGTGGTCAGTGGTTGGTGAAAAAAATGGAATTCAATATGGTCCTTTTGCTCTTCCACAAAATGGATTACCAATCAAATTATATTCCAAGAAATAATAAAAATATGAACAAAACAAAAAAAAGTGGAGGCTAGTCAAATATAGCATGGAAGCAACTTTCTAAATTTGGAATGGTTTCAAAAGCATGTGAATTTGATTAAACTTTGACAACAAAAAGGGGTGAAGAGAAGAAACCATTTAACAAATGCATAAACAAAAGGAAGATTAGATTTTAGTCCCTATAAATTTTGCACTAACAAGAAGTCAAGTGTACAGAGGTTATATAGGAAGAGTAATTAGTGTTAATAGGCTAATTTTTTCTTTTAATTTTATTATTTTGGTTAATAGTTTTTTATTCTTCCATTTTATTTTTATTTTGAAATGTTTTGAGGAAAAGTCCTCAAGAGATTGAATTAAATGTATTGAATTAACTTAGTTTTGTATCCAGCCATGAATGTTGCAATAATGAGAACATTTCAATTCTTTAACATTGGCATGCTACTTTTTACATAAAAACTTATATGGTTAAATATCGAATAGTAACAGGAAAAAAAAGAATAAGACAATATATTGCAAGAGATTGAGCACAAATTTATTTACACTGCTCTCCTTTTATGGGTTTATTGTTGAGAAAAAACAAATATGAATTAAGAATTTTGAAAAATATGGAAAAGTCTTACCTTAATTAAAAAAGTGGAAATTTAAATATTTATAAGTGAGAGAATTTATACACCTATCAATTTAAGATTTTGAGTGAGTGCGTGACGTGTCTCTCACAAAGTGTATTGCTCATAAAGGAAGACCCCAATATAAAAATGTTCATTCATGTTAAATCTCCAACAATAGTATCAAAAACCTTTGGTTCGAGTGAGAGATCGACTTTCTTGTATCGAAAGTACTCTCCACAGGTGGTGGGTAGGAGGTGTCTCGTTGAAGATGGTCAACGATGGTACAAGTGTATGTGGATAAAATAACTTTCGTTTGAGGGGAAGTATTGTAGGTAGACTCACATTTGAGAGGAGTTCTCTAGAAAAAACAAGTGTTAGTTAAGAACTTTGAAGAAAAAAATGTGGGAAAGTGGGAAAGTCCCACATTGATTAAAAAAATGGAGACTTGAGCATTTATAAGTGAGAGAATCCACAAACCTATCACCTTAAGATTTTTGGTGAGTATTTGATATGTCTCTTACAATGTGTCTTGCTCATAAAGAAAAGCCCCACTTGAGGTTGATAAAAAAAGTGGAGACTTGAGTATCTGTAAGTGAGAGAATTCACACACATATCACCTTAAGATTTTTGGATTGTATGTGATGTATCTCTCTCAAAGCGTTACTTTTAAAGGAAGACTCCAAGGTAGATTGTATGTGATGTATCTCTCTCAAAGCGTTACTTTTAAAGGAAGACTCCAAGGTAAATATATTATCTCGTGTTGAAACCCCAACATGTATATCTGCCGCTACAAAATGATTGTAATACTATTTTGAATGATTTAAGATTTAAAGTATTACAAACCATATTTATAAGAATGAATTCGCTACGTTCGTGACGATCTGGAGGCTCGTATTTTGATCAAAGCTCTTGAATTTTTGAGTGGTCGATATTCTATTGACATGGAGGTTAGGGGGTATTTCAACTTCTGAGATCATTCTCGAATTCATGACGAACATTATCTTTTTGTTGATAATGGAATATATATGACTAAAAGAACCGACAAGATTTCATGTTGTTTGCAGACACCGCTCAACATTTTTGGATAGAAACCAAGTTAGTGGGGATGCCTTTTGTCTTCAGCAGCATTCAAAGTCTAGAGGATGCTTGTTCGAACGTGAGACCATCTTCTGATTAGTCTGTTTTTCATGTCAACCTCAACAAGAGAGTATGTAGCTCCTTCGACTAATGTTTACTGTCTCTTTATGAATTCATATTTTTTATATCGAGATTTAAACTATCCTTTATTCATACTATTCTACTATATGTGTTTATATCTACGACTACATAATAATTGTAATTTCATATTATATATGAACGAATTAAGATTAAAATTACTATAAGCTGTATATATAATAATACACTCAGACTCCGTCCGATTTGACTCCCTTATCCTCTGTCCCCTTTGATAGTGGTCATGAGTTATTAACCAATTTTGATGCCCTAACAAAGCCATGAAGAAAAAATAGTATGTCTCCTAATAAAACTAATATCATAGTTGTAGAGATAATTGATTAAAAATTTTGACAAGTTTTATTTGTTTGAAAAGAAAATCACTAAAAAAGTGATGAAGAATGAAAATCTCGCAAAGATGACAAGTTGGAAACTACTTTCAATTTTTCTTTTCATAGACAATAACTTAATAATAATGACATAAAGTAGAACTTTGATTTAGTTTCATTACCATAATCCAAACTCTTCAATGTACAATTTGAGTTTTTTTTTCCAATACACATTGACTTATGAACATGTAATAAGCTATTTTCAAACACTAATGTGAATATTATATCATAAGAAAGTTCAAATAAACACTCTCAAACATGTCAACAGTCTTATAACACAATTCAGTGCATGTGAGGATATTAATGTCAAACATATGACTAAAATTTTATTTCTCAATCAAGCTAGACAAAAAGACTTTCATATCAAAAAATCTTTGCATATTTTTTCAATCCTTTCTGCTATCAATGCTTTCCAGCACACAACATAGATTGAATCTACAATTTTGTCATTATTACATGATATTATATCAATGAACAAACGTGTTCTACTATATCACTTTCAAAACATTATTAACATTACTATATATATATATAGTGTGTGACATCAATAATCTAAAACAGTGCTTTTGTACAATTGAGATTCTAAAGATAACACACAAAAAAAAGTATCGTATAAGTTATAACAGATGGCTACAATATAATGAAGTTTGAACCAATCTCATTGTGTCATTTTCTATAGAAATAAAGTCTTTTACTGAAAATGGGAAAACAGTTTTGTAAGACTTTTTTGTACAAATCTTAAAGTCATGGCCAAAAATGCTGACTCAAAGTTATGAAGCTATATCATTACAAGATTACAAGTGTCACGCTTGTGTTATTTGATGTTGAAAGAGTAAAAACTTTATTTCAAGATACATGACAGCTATGTTTGTAGATATGATGAATTCATTCTAGTTTATCCTTATATTAGTTGGATGAACATGTTTATGCAGTAGCATGTATTTATTACTTGCACAGATAATGGAAATGGATATATTGTTGGGTAACCAACATCCCAACTTATTTGATAAAGGATGATAAATTGAAAGAAAATTAAAATGAGATTGATGGAAAATAGTTTATTAAAAGGAGATTGATGGAAAATAGTTTATTGAATATTGTATTATGTTGAGTTGTATTTCAATTTTAATGAAGGTGATATATATAGATACACTGGCTAGTCATTTAAAATAATTTAAAATAGACTGTCTAAAATTAAACAATATACTTGCATGAGTATGCTTAAAAAATAATGTCTAATAAAAAATTATATACCTACACAAGGATATCCTTAAAGCCATATGATCGGGTATTCTCGTTTAGTGGGTATAAAATCTAACTGCAAATGCGCAACCTATCGTTTAGTTTTAAAAGATATCGATCCCACAGAGATCAATAGTCAAAGATTTATTGTTTCCAGTTATTACGGTGTTTATCTAAGGCGAATGAAATAGTTAAAAGGAAGAAACGAAATAAAAAGATTTAATAAAAACAGATGAATAACAATGCAGAAATGTAATTCACATCAACCGACAATGCTCTGATTGTCTCTACTAACCTCATATATATCTCCTTTGGGCTCATTTTTCTCCACTAATGTTCGTTCCGCCCCCCATTGGTAATGGTTTTGGGCCATATCTTCAATGAGAGCGCAAGCTTCGGGGTAAGGTTTGTTCATCAATGCACCACCAACGGCAACGTCGATGATCATCTTAGTGTTATAGAGAAGTCCATTGTAAAAGGTGTGGATAATCAGCCATTGTTCTAAACCATGGTGTGGAAAAAATCTTAATAGATCTTATATCTTTTCCAAGCGTCGAAAAGAGACTCGCCGTCTTGTTGGGTAAACCTAGATATTTGGTTTCGTAGGACAGCGGTCTTACTTGGTGGAAAATATCTAGCAAGGAAAACTTTCTTAAGGTCATTCCAAGTGGTTATTGAATTTGGTGGAAGGGAATCTAACCATGATCGTGCTCTATCTCTGAGGAAAAAAGAAAATAGTCTTAGACGTATTGCCTCAGGAGGGCAACCATTGGCTTTTAGAGTATCTGTTAATTGGAAAAAAAACTCTTAAATGTTGGTTCGGGTTCTTAGAAGGGAGACCAACAAACTGATTTTGTTGCACTAATTGTAACAAAGCTGGTTTCAACTCAAAGTTATGAGCTGCGACAACTGGTTTTAGTATACTCGAGTGGGGTTCTTCATTGGAAGGTAGAGTGAAGTCCTTAAGAGGTCTTTGGTTCTATTCTTTGGTCATCGCTCTTCTAACCTTTTGAAGTAAAAGACATGCGCGTGCATATCTTTCGAGTTCTTCTATTGAATTTACTAAGTTACCAGTACCGCGAGTTCTTCGCATCTCCCAATAAAAAGGTGCCTAAGTCTAGATGGTGTAACAAAAAATTTACAATATTTGACGTAATTGGTCCCCAACAACGGCACCAAAACTTGATCGGGTATAACAGCTAACTGCAAATGCACAACCTATCGTGTAGTTTTAAAATATATCGATCCCATAGAGACCAATATTCAAAGATCTATTGTTTCCAGTTGTTACAGTGTTTATCTAAGGCGAATGTAATAGTTCAAAAGAAGGAAACAAAATAAAAGGATTTAATAAAAACAGATGAATAACAATGCTGAAATGTAATTCACATTAATCGACAATGCTCTGATTGTCTCTACTAAGATAACTTATGGGGTAATGTTTCCTATTTAGAAAAGAATTAATTTAACATGAATTGTCGCTTTTGTGTATTCAGAACCGAGTTTCACTCTCTAATTTATACCCTCCATTTGTCACATATGGAATG